TGCCTCTAAGGAATACTCTGGCTACACTCTCTCCAAGACATATCTGTTTAGGGTTTGCTTTTTGTTTTGCTTTTGGTTTTTTGTTTGTTTGCTTGTTTTTTCAGTCCCTGGGATATTCAGTACTCATCTTCAGCACCACAACTGAAAAGCATCAATTCTTCTTCTGTTATCTTATTCATAGCCTTCACATTATTTACTTCTTTGGTTTATTACACATGTATTTGTATTAGTTTAAGTGTGTGGCAGGTATGAACTTAACATGTAAAGTATATATCTAAGAAATGTAGAATGGATAGATCATTAATAATGCACTGTAGTGAATGAAAGGAAGGACATTTTGAAAGAAATGGATAATTAGAAACCATATGCATGAAAAAAAGAAATTGGAGGGTGGGTGTGGGAAGGAAGAAGGAAAGTGTGCATGAATGAACAAATGATAAAAAAGGAAAAAAAGAACAGTTGAGAACTACTAATAAAAATTTGGAAGACCAGAAAACAACAGTTTGTGCCCTGAAACACTATCTTTTTCCTTAAATATCTAGGTAGGCACAGTAAATAAATAGGCCTTCAACTATTTTTTTAAACCAAAATAAAGGAAAGTTTGACAAATTCTCCTTTAGAAAACTGTTTTAACTATGTGAGCTTCAAATATTTCATGACACTCATGAAATATTCTAAAACAACTTTAGGACATTGGAGAGAAGAAATTTTTCTTGGAAATGGTATTTTAAGTGGCAAATTGTATGTTTAGAGAATTTTATCCAACAAGTGATGATTTTTCAATAATTTTTGTTTGTTTAGATGACCCATGAGCAAAATACACACTTGGAATGTTCCCTAAACTTTGATGTTGCTTTTTTATCTTTCAACTTCACTCTTTCATCTTATTTCCTTGGTTTTTAAAGATTTTAAGTTTAAGCTTCTTGCCTAGTGTCAAGAGGCTGCACTGCAATCCCAAAGACACAAATTTCCAGGCCATCAGCTGTTTAGCTGGAGATAGATGGGCAATCCAATCCCTGTGCAATTAACTGCCTCTGAAAACCCACTGAAGGGTCAGCTATGGGTCAGTTCTGACACAGTTCTATGGCACACAATAACAACTCTCTCTCTCTCTCTCTTTCTTTATGCTTCATGGTATCAGAGAAATATTCATTTTTCTCTATTTATCTATAGGCAAAATCTTAAAGGTATATATATATATACCATGTGTACATAGGGTTTTCAGAGGCCTGCCATTTCAGAAGTGGATGGCCAATCCTTCTTCCTAGTCTGTCGTAATCTGAATGTTTAGACTTAGAGGAGTATCTGACAGAGAGCAATCTGTGGAGTAGTAAAAGATAAATCCCTCATTTTGGAGTTGACCATTAGTTACAGCGTAGTCCCTGCCCTTAGCCCAGTGCCTTGACCCACTTATTTCCCAGCTCGACCCTCCAGCAGGATACCACTTCACTTCTACCAAATGCCTTCAGAATTAATGTTCCATTGTCCGACCCATGACTTGACAGCTTGTCAGATTTTTTCCTGTGTCCAGTGTCTCTTTTTTACTTGTATTGTCTCCAAAGGGAAGGTGATGTGTCCTGTAGAACTCCTGTATAGATTGTGTTTTCCTTCTAGGCCCTCGGGCCTGTGGCCCTCGGGCCCAACTGGTTTAGGCTCTGCCTTGGGGCTTGTTACCTGGATAGGTGTGTCAGAGGCAATTAGATTGGCACAGGATAGAGCAGGGTTTAGGGCTGTTGTACATAGGGTCACTATGAGTCGCAAGCAACTCAACAGCACATAACAACAACATG